ATTTAAAATTAGTATCACTACTGAGGGAGGGGCGGAGGGTTCACTATGGAGGGACTTGATCTACAGCTGCTTTTTAATACCAGCCAACTTAAATCTCATGCCAAAAATGTCTGGTGTTTATTTTCTTTTGTGAAGAAGCAGATGATTGTCCAGATGATATCCAGATGATTAAAAGGAAGCTGAATCTGTATCCTGTCAAAGCTCCTCTGAAGCTCATCCATAATTTCTCCTTTCTCTCACTGTACATAATTTCATGTGCAAAAAGCTTCAGACAAACCAGAGGCTATTGATTAAACAAAAAGAATACAGCAATGTACCAAACCTGAATTTCTACAGTAAATTGCTATGTGATCAATATCCAATACATTAAATATCTTCCTTGCAATGACAGTTATCCTGTGTTCTATCCTGCTTCACAAATTACCCCAGAAACAGCAGCTGATATAAAAACTTTTGTGGTCTAGGCCGACTTGAGTAGTATTTCCCCATGAATCAAATAATAGCATATTTGTAGTAAATTTGTTTGCCAGGGACTGTTTGAAACTTCCAGATCTTTTTATGTCAAAGACATAAGATTTCTGCTGTTGAGAACAGATTTTTTAAAAGTAATTCAAGTGTTTTTAGGGACCATGTTTTTAATTTGGCGCATTAGAGTACCCCTGCATATCTTCTGTGCAGAATAAACACATCAGTTGTCTTTTCAGTTTATGTTGTAGCACATTCTTTTTTAGAGGTCTCTGTAACTTACAATTTTGTCCAAGTTTATTCTCATTCAGTGTGAATAATTGCACTATGCCTTCTTTACTGAAGAAGGCTTTATTGTAGAGCATTGTTCATCTCACCTGTTTTAGTCAGTTACTTTAAGATGGGATGAATCACTATTTAGATTCTACTGATCATCTATACAAGATTTCAAATGATTATAAAGAGACACAGTTCAATAAAATCAAATAATAGATTCTAATGCACATTGCATCCTGTCTTCTATCACCTCATCTCACAGGAGAAGGAATACATACAGTTTTTCTCAAAGAATTTGATAAGCAATCTCTCATATTGATAAAGGCCAAGACAGCTGGGACTGTTCAGCCTGGAGGGGGTGTCTCATTAATGTGTACAAATATCTGAAGGTACAAAGAAGGAGACTTTTCAGCCATGCTGAGTGACAGGACCAGAGGCAATAGACACAAACTGAAAGTCAGAAGAACACTTCTGAACTTCAGCAGTTTTTAATGTGAGGGTGACAGAACACTGTCAGAAGTTGCATAGGGAAGCTGTGTACAACCAATTCTAGGCAGCCCTGCTTGAGCAGAAGGGTTGGACCAAGTAACCTTCATAGGTCACTTCCAACCTCAGCCATTTTGTGATATTACATCTAGATTCTATTAATGATCTTTACATAAGGATGTTACTGATTGCAGACTATTTAAATAACACGTAAGATCTTTGAGGGTGGAATTTTGCTTTAGAGAAAGATCTCTCAACTTATGTTTCTACTGCTCTTTTGAAAGAGGAGCAGCACACTTCTTTCATAATCGTTGGTGGTTTGGTTCACTTGAGTGAATTGTCTGACTCTTAAATGAACTGGGTTCAACTTTCTGGATCATCAGCATTCTAAACCCATGGAGGGAAAAAAATTTTTCTTCTTGCCTAGCTTCTTAAATCTGCTCACATGCATCATGTGAATCAGTGGTATAAGAGAATTCACAGCCAATGGCAAAAAGTAGTTACCCCTTCCTTTTGTTGTCTGCCATGTCAGAGTTCATCCTAAGAAAAGGAACAGGTTAAGGAGCAACTGTTTAAATTTTCAGCTTATTCAATTAGATTCTGTGGTCAACGGTGCTGATGGCAGCAAATGCATCAACAACTTACTGTACTTGCAAAAGAGCTTGATCTTCTTGGAGTACTGTCTTGGCTTAACATCTCAGTCTTGACCTGCCTACTCCAGATCTCAGCCCAGGTTGTCTGGGATCTGCGAACCATTCACTACTTTCTCTAAAAATAAGGTGTCTGTTTTTGCATGATTTCAGAGTAAAACCGAGTGAAACTCAATGGTTGGGATTTTGTTTTGCACAGACCTCCTGGGTGCATGTGGATCTGAAGCAGTGGGGGGGCTGGGACTGGTGGTGCAGGGAGCCACACAGGGCAGAGCAATGAACAGGCCAATGAACCGAATAGGCAGCTCAAGTCTTGCAAACAGAAACTGCAGCTTCACAGGCAATTTAGCTGGTACAATTTTTTCTAATTAATTACAGTAAACTACATATTAGCAAATGTTAACAGATCAGGGCAGATTTATGTCAGGGAAGGCTACTGTGCTAATGAATGGCCCCCGCATTAGCATTGCCTGGAGCAGCACATGCTCCTCTCTTGGTCTTTCCTTACCACATTTTCCCATTACCATCACAGCAGAAACAAGCCTTTCACATCCTGTAATCTCTGACCAGGAGGAAACTGGTTTAGAAGGTAAAGAAGGGAACTGGCAGATGGCTATTGGTATGAACTACAGCTCTGGTTGTTTTTATTTGGGCATTTACTTGAAGAAGCACAGGAACTATGGGGTACTGAGCACCTCTCAAAATCCATATTCCAGTCGTGGTTACTGCTAGAGTGGCTGTAGTTTGTACATGTTTGCATTCCAGCTAACTGAGTGTGGCTATCAACTTTTCTACTGGTTTTATTTTTTGTATACAAAAAAAGATTCTTAACACCTGTCACAACAAAAGATTATTTTTCACTATCATGCATTTTTTTTTTCATTAGTGCATATGATTTGAATTTTCAATATATCTGGCTTAAATAATATCTGGCTAATATAATATCTGGCTTAAAGAAGGAGAAATATTCTGTAGGTTTTGCTAAATGACTACTATAAAGCATTTGAGATCTTGGATTGGCAGGTGCTGTCAAAGCATAATATATGATCAACATACCTTTAAATCAATGAAAGACCAAGAGTATCACAATTCAGAGAGCAAACAAACCTAATTATTTACTCTTCACTCTGCTGCAGTCTGTAAGTGCAGACTCAAAATTAATGTACTATACTTTAGCCACCCAGCTAAAACCCACAAAAATCCATATAAAACACCTTCCAAATTCCTCAATGCCAGATTGTGCTAGTTTAAGAAAACTTTTTCTGTGATACCTTTTCATCTTTTAAATGTTAGGTTTCTTATTAAATACCAATTAAATAGCAATTTGAAAGGATTGGAGTGATATTTTCACACATTCATAATCCAACTGTTGATAAAACTACTCCAAAATGCCTCTAATGGTAAAATCTGCATTTCCCCCACTCTCTTGCCAGACAACTCAAAAGAAAACTTTACATACTGAATATTAGCAAATTGTCTGAAGATAGCACTGCGATTTTTTTAATTTTTTTTTTTTAATACCCCGTGAGTACATGATTAAGTCCTGGTTTGTAGGAATCATTAACTTATTGTTGATCCTTTTATTGGGCAGTCTGGATTTCACTCTATGGACATGTGCAAGGTTCCTCATTTGTTTTTACTCTTCAAGACAATTTGCATTTGTGATATAATGCCTCATTGAAGACAGGAAAAAGGAGAGAAATGCAGACGCACAGGTTTTCCTAACTGCTGTAGCTATTTTGAATCGTCCCATAAAACTTCCAGATCCTTTTCCTTGGAGAAAAGTGCAGGTGGTGGTGGGTTGCAGGAGTTGCTCCTAAGCTAAGCTCTTGCCAGCCACCAGCAAAGGGTGGAGAGGGGAGGGAGAAGGTGTTGGTGGGGCTGTGGGTTTCTGGCTGCTGCTCTGTGTGGGTTTTGGCAGCTTGTGAGAGGCAGGGCTGCTCAGAGAGAGCTAGGGGGAAACTGCCAGGGACTGGAGACTGGAGACCTTCAGTTTTCCTAGAACTGCTCTGTAACGTTTTCAAAAATGAGGAATTCCTGAGAATAATAGAGAGAGAAGGGGGTGGGAGAACGAGAACTAGAAATGGAGTGAAATCCCCATGCATCATTCATTCACTGGTGAAAGGGAGGGGGAACGGGAAAAGACCAGAATGCAAAGCTTTTAACAGTTGAAATGTTGGTATTTCCAGTTTGGAAAACTTTGAATTATCTAAAAAATTATTGAGATTTGCTTTGCAATATTCCTGCTAAAATAATAACTAGAAAGTTAATTACTATTCCTTGTGCACTCCACTGATTGTCTCAGGTTGGATAAAGCTTTGTGAAGGTATTTTTTTCCCCTATACATAAATTAATATATTTTAAGACCAGAAGGGACTGTTCATCTGACCTCATGCATAACAAAGGCATCTCGTTTGCTGTATATTAATTATTGCTTCAAGTATGATTCAACAGCAGCATACCACAGAGAAATCTTCCCACTTCAAACCATTATTTCCACTTATATGTCTATGAGCTCTATTGTCCTTTTTTTTTTTTTTGCAACCATCACTTCGGGAAGTCTAACTATGCAGGGGCTCAAGTCCAGTTGAAGTCTCCTCCTCTTGCTTCCCCTCCTCCAGTCCTGGGAAAGCAGTCAGTTAGTCTTCCTGATTAAGTACATGACTTAACTTTTGATCATGACAAAATTTGTATCATTACCTAAGCAAATGACATAAAACAATGCTGGTAAAGCAGATTTATTGTGTTTTTTCACCATTCCTCTCACAAAAGTGCCAGATAGCATCTGTAGTGGTATCTGAGTTGTTGGGTTTTTTCCTCATTTAACTGGTTAATTAGAATATATATGCAAATTAGGGTCAAAGATTGTCCCTGTAGGACTTTACTCAAAAATTACTCCATGTTTATAGTTGCATTTCAAGAGCTGCTGGTTTCTAATCTGTGCTGTGTGCTCTATTGACTTTACGGCATTCTAGTTTACTGTTCATAACATTGTCTGGTGTCCTGTCAAATAATATTTGATTTATTTGCATGTGTTACCTTTATCAAATCCATAATTTCACTTGCTATTAAATACTTCATTGCTCTTGTAGACAAATTGCCTCTTGGTGTTTTTTTCTTTAGAGAGAAGGGAAAATAGAGGTGACAGGCTGGAGCTGTGACAAGGCAAGAAATTGGGAAGGATACAAAGAAAAGGATCTGACTGAGGGCAGTATGGACAATGAAAGGCTTAAGCAGGACCAGCTTAAGCAGAGCACCAAGTGTGACTCCCTGGGGAGCACAAGAGAGAAAGCACTGTGGTCCTGATGGGAGTGTGGAGGCAGTAACTCCACCTGACAGTCAGAGCTGAAAACCTCAGACTGGTATATCTGAATTCCTGTGAATATCAAAGTGATATCTATGTGATTCCTCATCCTTCTGTCCTGTGTTACACCTGGCCTACTGTAATGTCATCATAATAAATGTATTACAGAAGAACAATAAGATTTCTCCCTTTTCTTATTTCCTGTACATTAGCACATGGACCATGAGGTGGGATTATATAGTTAATTATTTTCTACATGTACAGGATATTCAGATAATAGACTCAATTTGTGTTCTTGGAACAGCAGATGTATTAGTTTCTCCAGTAAGACATTCCTCTTCCAGCATAGAAAAAACATAAGAAATCAGGAATGGCAGTTACGTTGTATTACAGTCAACACCCCTAATTTAATGAACTTTTGATAATAGTCTCAATAAGATAGTCTGCTGCTTTGTTGAAAATTACATCTTGCAAAATCCCTACTAACAACAAGTAGACAGGGATCATCCACACAAATACTTTTATTACGTGGAAATCTTTTGTATTTAACAACTAACCTCAAATGAATACAGCACACTGAAATAAAAGCTAACTATTTTCTTTGAGTGGGTTACTTCAACTGGCTTCAGTAATGTCTTCAATATATATTCTCAGCTCGGTTTATCAATAAGAAACTTTGAGCAGAGGTTTTGGTTTGTTGGTTTTGTTTTTGTTGAAGTTTGATTTGCTTCATCTAGAAGGGAACAGATCCAGTAGTGTGCCACTCTAAGGCACTTTCCAAGTTGTGCACATAAAAAACTAGTACTGGAGTAATGCACTAGCCTCTCTAATAAGAAGAAATGTTCTAGGATGTATTTGGGAGAGAGAGGATGAAAAAGATAAGGGAAGTGGCATGTTGTCCTACAACAGTGGGAAGCCTGATGAAAATAAAGGGATTTTCTTAACAAATTGACCAAGACTCCAAGGCATTGAAAAAAAGACAGCTACAAAGAATAAGGAAAAAACACATTCATTCTTCCAGTGTGCAGTCAATATTTAAAGGTTTATAATTCTGAAAAGGTGGTTGTGGTTTTTTTAAATTTTTTTTTTCCATCAAACTCCCTTTTCTAAAAAGAGAATGAGAGTATTGTTCTTCCAATTTAAGTTTAGTGAAACAGGACTTTTCACCACACTTATACATAAATGTGAAGGGTAAATCATGCAGGTATTTCACAGGACTCTTTCCAAGTGATAGCTCACATGGGCAAACACCTGGGTTGCTATTCTGATGAGATCCTCAGAGCCAGCATGTGGTTTGTCCAGTGCTAGACATGCTGGGTCAGGCAGATATTCTCACATGGCAAGACCAATTCCTTGGACCTTCTCTGGCTATAGGCAGTGGCTATGGGATGTGCACCAGGTGTGTGTTAAGTGCAATCTCACTGAGTGCAGATATTCATAAAAGATGTTGCTGGCATCCTTAAGCTCCTGTAGGTTTTATAATTAATTTCTGTTTTGCTTACACTCTGTTGTATTTCCTTTCCATTCCCTTGGTGGGTAAATAAGATTTTGCTTCCGTGATGTCTCTTACAGAGCCTCTGCTTTACCAGGTGACTCAGCAGTACAAATAGGATATGGATTAGTTATGTGCAAACAATCACATCTATGCTGAATTACCCAGAGCACACAACAAACAAAGTATGTTGACATTATGCTTCTATCCAGACTTTCTGGCAGCTGCAGGTGCTGCAAAATGCTACCTGATCTGGCACAAAGTTAGAGTGGAGTGACAAACAACACCCAATTCTGCATAAAGCCTGAAAGCATAACAAGAACCTCAGCTTTTGTTTGGTTTTAACAAATTTGCAGAAGATTGAGTTCAGGCTATGTTAGAGGGCATTTTTTATTCTGTAGCCAAGGTATTTTTAGAATGTGGTACTAAAATCCCTAATCCGGATTTGCTGTATCGTCAAACAGCTACTTGAGTTTAATGGCAAGAAGGGTTGTTGAGAAAATGTAACCCAAGTCAATAGAGCAAAATCACTTGGAAAACATGATTCTCTTATTGGTTTGTCTGGTTTGACAAATGACTCTTAAGAGTCAGCAGAAACAGAAGAAAATTGTTGATTCTGGCTTTCTGATTCAAAAAGCAGATTACTATGTATTCAGCATTATATAAAGCTAATTGCATTTAATATAAGCTGTTCACAAACATATCTCAGCTATGACTTTATAGCTACAAATCAGTCTGTGGCATGTTCTGCTTCCTTGAATTAACCTCTGCGTTGGTGGGCAATACATGGAAAATGGCTCTGACAGTTCATGTCATCTGGCTTAATCTTCTCCCTCCCTAACTCTCACAAAATGAAAATTTGGCAAATTACTTCATGCTAATTGCCATGAATAATAATATATAATATAATATAATATAATATAATATAATATAATATAATATAATATAATATAATATAATATAATATAATATAATATAATATAATATAATATAATATAATAATATAAATAATATATAATAAACATAATCTAATATCTGTTTTAATTCTCTAAAATATCAGTATTTTCTATTTTCAAATATATTGCTGTGCTTGATAATACTCTAAAAGAGTTTCTCTGTTGAAGAAAATAAGCAGGTATTTATAAATGAAGCAAGGCTCTTAACTGTTTTGCATGCAAAGCATAGAATGAAATCCAAAAATTTCAGTTAATTTCCCCTGACAGGCCTGGGGAAACAGACACTTCACATGGAACCCCAGATCCTTATACTGTGCAGAGACCTGCTCAGGTTCACTAGAGAAGTCAGACATATATTAAACTGACATACACTTTGGTGCTCAATGAATGTCGGCCAAAAAGTGCTTCTGTCTGTTTGAGATCTGCCACTTGCTCCCCTTCCCCCTGCACTGGAAACGTGAAACCATTCCCTTAAGTAATTGAGCAGGATTCAGCTTTTCTTCTGAAAGTTATTGACTGGACCTTTTTACATAAAAGCCTGGGGATTATAGCAGTTGCAAATGAAGCACTTAATTAATTTTGTTTCTTACCCTGAAAGAATTCATATGCATGTCTGCCACCTCCCTCCCAGGGAAATGTGAACCCCTAAGCCACACACTGACAGAGGGTGAAGGGCAGAGCAGCAAGAAGACACACAAAGTGCTCACAGGCCCTTCTTGTGGAGCTGGAGCATGCAATTTCACAAGTCAGTGAGCCATACAAACCTGGCTTTAGAGTCTGGTGGTTAGTCAGTCATATGGAAAGAGGTATCCTGGGTTTTGACTCATCTATTTTATACTAAATAACAAGATTTAGACTGTCTGTATGAGGATTTGTGCATCCACCTCTCTCTGCCCACTTGCCAGCCACAGTGCTGACAACTGCAATGTTCACAGCTTAGTTCCAGCATGAATGCTGCAGCTTCATTTCAACTGCAGGTATATGCTTGCTTCATGGAGTCCTGCATCAACAGAGGACCTAAACTTATGCTTCCCTGGACTGCAAGTAAACTTTTGTTTCCCTGGACCTTCATGGCGTACCTGCAAAAGTTTCATCTAGAGTATTACTTTTGTACTGTGCTGTGATCAAGGTTGTTCATCTTGTGACTGTCCTCCCTCAAGTACCTCAGTCACCTGACTTCTACAGAGGATGCTTCTGCAGCAGGTTCTGGGATACAGAACTCTGGATTTACATGCTGTCACCAAAGATTTTATGTGCTTGAATCCAGATCTGCAAAACAGTCTCTCTATGAAATTCAGCGCTAATACTGAGTGTAGGATTGTTCATATTTGTATTAAATAGAAAATATAAAAGCAGGTAAGAGGATTCTATTTTTTTGGCCATTTTCATAGCACAGAAGATACCTGTGACACAGCACAAAAAATCAGAGTTATACTTTTCCATCTGTATGGAAAAATCTGAGGTGGAAAAATATCATATGGACCTTGCATTAGTGGCTATGCAAGGCAACATATACAATATGGCTACAGTCAGACATGATAAGTAAAACAAAAGAAATTGAATTCTGATTACATTGGTGTTTCAGGATTAATCAAAACTTTGTCACTTGGCTAGGTATCCCGACCATATTTCAAGTTTGTAGCCTCTACCAAATTCAGGATTTTTTAAATTTTTTTTTTATTTTTTTTACATTTTAGAAATGTTACTGTAATGGTCCCAGTTGTTCCATGACATTTTTAGTGATCACAGTTTTGTGTAAGTGGAGTTATGTCTCAGAAGTATGAGTGGTTTGTCTGTGTGTAAATGCTGCCAACAGTTTATCTTTTCTAATCTCACTTTTGCCATTAACTAACATTGCGGATCTGCATTCATAATTTAAGTTTGATTACTGGTGTCACTTAAATTTGAGCTCTGCCACTGAATTCAATGGAGATAACTTAGGCCTTTATCCATTTAATCTCCTGTTTCTGTATTACCAAGACAAGATGAAAAATTATTGTGCTGGATGCTGAAAGAATGGTCAGGTCAGAACAGATATTATGCAGCTGAATCTTGAGATGCGTAGGCGTTTTATGTTAAACTGTCACTAGTGAACACAAGTGGCACTGGGAGTTGGGGACAGAAGCCCAGCCCTGCCCCTCCAAACCGAGGGTCCAGCTTCAAACATGGGCTGCAGCAGGGGCATCTCCAACCTGCTCTTCTCCTAGCCTTGTCACTCCGGCCTGCACATCCCAGGGGATGTGATCTCCAAGTTACCCTCTTGCTTGGCACCTTGCCACTGGTGTGCTGGACATGTGCATTTACTCCCTTGGGATAACTCAGAAATGAATTTCAGTTCTCTCACTTCCTGAGAGTGGGTATTCTATCAACTAAGCAGTTATGCACTCTATGCTACCATAGGGTTAGATGTGGTTAATTATAGTCTTGGCCACAATTAACATTTCACTCTTCTCTGGGGACTTCTAGCTGAGTTCAAGTACCAATCCAGCTCACCCATTAAATAAGAGGAACTGGGGAGAGATAAGCATCCATTTTCCACTTCTGAGCATACATGGGAGACTAAAGGTAAAACCTCAGAAATTTTTAAGCTAAAAGGACATCACCTAATGAATTTATGTAGTTTACATGGGACAGCCCTGAAAATTAGGACAGACCGCTTTTCTCTGGGATTGTGGCAAGA